CAGGAGTTGGAGGCTGCATTGAGCTAGGATCACACCAATGCACTCCAGCTCTGGGTGACAGATCAAAACCCTGTCTCTAAAAAATAAAGAAAAAATAACAATACTACCCAAAATGGTCTACGAATTCAATGTAAACTCTATCAAAATCCCTACAGTGTTTTTTTTTTTGCAGAAATTGAGAACTATCCCAAAGTTTATATGGAATATCATGGGACCTGAAGAGCCAAAATACTTTTGAAAATCAACAAAGATGGACTCATATTTCCTGATTTTAAAACTTACCACAAAGCAGCAATAATCAAACTTGTGTAGTATTGGCATAGGATAGATATACAGCTCAATAGAACAAAATTGAGAGCTAAGAAATAAACTCACATATATGGTCAACGGATTTCCAACAGAACAAAAAGACTATTTAATGGAGAAAGGACAGTCTCTTTGACAAAGGGGAAAACTATATCCACATGCAAAATAATAAACTTGGATCCTTACCTTATTCTATATTCAAAAATTAGCTCCAAATGGGTTAAGAACCAAATTTAAGAGTTAAAACTATAAAACTCTTGGAAGAAAACACAGGGAAAAATCTTTATGACCTTGGATTTGACAGTGGCTTCTTAAACATGACGCTGAAAGCATAGGCAACAAAAGAAAATAAATCAATAGAGTTCATCAAAATTAAACACTTTTGTGCATCAAAGGACATTATCAAAAGAGTGAAAAGACAACCCACAGAACAGGAGAAAATATTTGCAAATCATATCTCTGATAAGGTTCTTCAAATATTCTGATAATCCAAAATATATAAATAATTCCAACAATGCAACAACAAAAAGACAAACAGTCCAACTAACAAATGGACTTTTCTTTTTCTTGAATCATAATATCACTCTGACTCAGGGTGGAGTGCAATGGCACACTCATGGTCACCGCAGCCTCAGCCTGCTGGGCTCAGGTAATCCTTCTGCCTCAGCCTTTCAAGTAGCTGGAACTACAGGCTTGCACCACCATGCCTGGCTAATTTTTTTATTTACTGTAGAAACAAGGTCTCAAAATAAAATAAATTGCCCAGGCTGGTCTCTAACCCCTGGGCTTAGGCAAGCCTCTCACCTTTGCCTCCCAAAGTGCAGGGATTACAGGTGTGAGCCACCGCGCCCAGTCACAAGTGGACTTTGGTAAACATTTCTCCAGGCCGAGCTTGGTGGCTCAGCCTGTAATCCCAGCATTTTGGGAGGCCGAGGCGAATGGATTGCCTGAGCCCGCGGGTTCGAGACCAGCCCAGGCAACTTGGCAAGACCTCGTCTCTACAATAAATAAAAAATCAGCTGGGCATGGTAGCATACGCCTGCAGTTCCGGCTACTTGGAAGGCTGAGGCGGAAGGATTGCCGGAACCCAACAGGTCAACGCTGGGGTAGCCATGAGTGTGCCACTATACTCCAGCCTGGGCGACCCAGAGTGAGACTCTGCTGAGGTGGCCATGAGTGTGCCACTGTACTCCAGTCTGGGCAACAGAGTGAGACTCCACCTCAAAAATTTGGAAAAAAATTTTCTCCAAAGAAGATATACAAATGGCCAATTATCACATGAAAATATCATCAACATCATTAGTCATTGGGTAACTGCAAATCAAAACCACAATGAGATACCACTTCACATGCATTAGGTTGACATTAAAAAAAAAAACCGGGCTCAGTGGCTCAGCCTGTAATCCCACGCTTTGGGAGGCTGAGGTGAGTGGAGTGCCTGAATCTGAGGGTTCAAGACCCACCTGGACAACTTGGCGAGCCCTCATCTTTACAATAAACCAAAAAATTAGCCGGGTGTGGTAGCGTGCGCCTGTACTTGGAAGACTGAGGCGGAAGGATCGCCGGAGCCCAGCAGGTCGAAGCAGCCGGGAGCGTGCCACTGCACTCCAGCCTGTGACAGAGTGAGACTCCAACTCAAAATAAAATAAATAACAAAAATAACAGAACATAGTAACTGTTGAAAAGGATGTGGAGAAATTAGAACTCTCATATGTTGCTAATGGGAATGTAAAATGGTAGTCACAGTGGAAAATACAAGAAGAGGAGAGGAAAAATAAAACTGGAGTTATTTTTTGGAGGGTCAGTCCCTTGTGGTACAGGCTGCCCCCTCTAGGTAAGTGTTCTAAGGAACCCATCAGCATCAGTGTTCCGCTAGCCTTGTTGAAGAAGCTGTATTTGGCTTTAGTGAATTTCTTTTTGGAGATTCTTCAGTGTGTTTGCCCATTTCATGATGTGTGAATGACACGAACAGCCTGCCCATAACACACTGAGTGTTCAGCAGTTTTTGACCAAAAATGTCATGACCCCCGTGCCCCACCCTCCCTATTTACCTGATCTCACCTGGAACAACTTTTCTGTTTGTTTCCCCAATGAAAAAGTCCTCAAAGGGAAACGTTGTGCCTATGTGGAAGAGGTGAAACAAAAAATGGCAGAAGCACACTAAAAGGCATCAAATTTGATGATGCCTTCAAAAACTGTTTTGAGCAGTGGAAAACGCATCTCAATAGGTGTATTGCATCAAATAGAGAGTACTTTGAAGGTGACTAAAGTTTAAACATTTAAGAATAAATATAAAATTTTTAATAAATAAATTCTGGGTTTTTGAGTCCCCCTTGTAGTTTGGCAGTTATTCCAAAAACGAAACATAGAATTACCATAGGATCCAGCAATTCCACGCCTAGGTATATACCCCAAAGAATTGAAAACAGGAACTCAAAAAGATAATTGTACGCCAACGTTCATGACAACTTTATTCACAGTAGCCAAAAGATAAAAACGACCCAAGTATCCATCAAAAGTGAATGAACAGGCGAAGTGTAGTCTATTCGTGGAATAGAATGTTATCCAGTCCTAAAAAGGAATGAAGTTCCGATTCATCCTACAACATGGACAAGCCTTGAAAGCATTATGTTAAGTGAAACAAGTCAGATACAAAAGTTCACATATTGTAGTTTTCCACTTGTCTAGAACAGAAAAACTGATGGAGGTGTAAAGCGAATTAGAGGTTCCTATGACCTGAGGAGAAGGGAGAATGGAGAGTTAATGTTTTATGGGTATGGGGTTTCTGTTTGGGATGATTTCAAAGTTCTGGAAATACATAGTAGTGATGGTTGTGCATGTGCTTAATGCCACTGAATTACACACTTCAAATGGTTAAAATGGCAAATTTTGTTATGGATACTTTATCTCAATGGGAAAAAAAAATGTAAAGGACTTGACAGCACCATGTGTCACTCATAGTTCATCCTAAATTAACCTGGCAATTGGGGTGGCCATCTGTAAAACTTCTCGTATCTCTAAGTTAAAGTCCCACCAAGACAGGGAGAAAGGGGCGCTGTCTCCCTTGTCTACTTTTCGAAAAGATGACTCTGGGATCCTTAAGTGAAAGTTTTCCTCGGCTGTAAAACTGGCTGAGATTTACTCAGCCTTTCAAAGGAATGTCATACATCTCAGGGGACAGAAATAATTTACAAGTTTTCTAAAGGAAACGCTCTGAGAAAAGGGAGGTGGAGAATGTCTCCATCTTTATATCAGGGAAAATTCAATTTTGGATTTGTCCTTACCTGCACAACTCGGAGAGGAAGAGGGTTTGGGGCATAGGGAAGAGCCTGTGCAAAGGCCCTGGGGCCGCGCTGCTGCAGTCAACCAAGCGGGCAGGAAAAGGACACCGGAGGCGGGTGGCAAGAAGCCTCTGAACGAGAAGTCCCTGCTCTAGAGAAGCGGAGGCCGGTAGGAGAGCCCTCTGTGGGCAGGTCGGGCGCCGCTGTACCCGGAGAGAGGCCTCGATGGTGGCCGTGAACGTGTCAGGCGCCGCCAAATCTGGGATATATTCCCGGCAGAGTAGCTAGCTGAGCACATGAACGGGAGGACAACCCGGGAAGGCTCCGGGCCTTGGACCTGAGACCTGGAGCGGGCGTTTTGACCCACCGAGGTGGCCAGGTAGGTACGCGGGAGCGCGCTCCGGGCAAGGGCCGGGAATTCCGGGTGCGGGCGAGTCCGCGGTGGCCCGCCCTGGGCACGCGGCGA